AAAACTCTACTATCTATACAATATACATAGACATAAAATGTAAACACTTAAATATCTTAGAAACAGTAGCCAATCAGTTGTTTTAATTGTCTTATTTGAATTCAGCACATCAAAATACATAATAAATAGCACATTTTATCTCTGAAGCAGACGACTTCTCAAAAATTGTAGACCAGTGAAATTAATACCTATTGGAGAACATTATCCAAAAGCTATCTTTTCAAATGGGGGAATATAAGAGTGTGTTTCTTTTTCTTTTGTGGCTACAGAACTAAGTTCTGTTACTGAGCAATTATTTATTTTGCTTTAAATAGTAAATACACCTATGCAAGGATGTAGGATCTCTAACACCTAATTAATACTACAGCAGAACCCTACCATCATTAAAATAATTATTCAGAAATGAACTCTGTCAGCCTGTCACCTACAAAAAATAGCTCCTTTCTCTGTAGGTCTTCATATGTCATAACCAACACATTAAATTCCCCTCAGAGGCCCTTGGGCAGCCAGTGGAGATCCAAAGCACTGGTATTATGATGCTTGCGGATACCCTGCTCAAGAAGCAAGCCATTGTCTTCTGCACCGGTTTCAGTCTCCAAATGGTTTAGATTAAATGTTGCATCTTGTGATACCATATTACACAAATTATTCCTTTTGTTGTAAATATAGAGACAGTATTCCTTTCAAATGGTGGCAGCATATCCTAGTCAATAGACTACTAGACTAAAACACAGCAGACCTAGTTTGTAGTCCCAGCTCTGCCACTGGCCTGCTTGGTGATGTTGGGCTAGTCACTTTCCCTCCCTGTGCCTGAATTTCCGGATCTGTAAAATGGGGATAATGATGCTGACCTCCTTTGTAAAGTGCTTTGAGATCTACTGATGAAAAACAGTACAGGTATTATTATTTTATTTTATTAGAGAGATGGCCAAAATAAAGACAAATCTCTGCAAACTGTTGACAGTTGAGCATATTAAATACATTGTTTTTGTCTGTTACCTTTGTTTATATTTCATCACAGATATTTTTTAATCATTATACAAAATTTAAAAACTTAGGAAAGTGATGTACAGTACGTTGCTGCTGTGTATAACTAATGCTAGAAATTTTCAAAGCCAATTGGGGATTTAGCTACGCAACTCCCATTAAAAGTAGAAGTATCAACATTATTACCCAAACTGTAGTTTGGCTAGGAAACATGGATTAACATGATTGCTCTTGTGAGTTTAGACCTACCACACTGCTCCCTTAGTCTTCAGATCCCTTTGGTGGCTTCCTCTCTACCTCTGAATTAAATTTAAGTCCCAAAGCATGATGTCCTTGTTTTCAAGATCCCACATAGTTTGGCTTTTGTCATTTCATTTCCCCTTTGTTCTGTCCTAGCAGCATGCCTCGATGTTGTCGAGTTTCCACATGACCTAACCTTTACCCAGACCTTGTTAGCAGTGCTTTCTGTCTTCCCAGTTGCTCTCAAAACTCCTTTCTATCATGGACCTTCGTCCTCTTGGTTAAAAAAATAAGAGGAGTAGCATTTTTAAAAAATCTTGTGGAACCTCCAAGATCTATGCATTACTGATAGGAGTAACCACATGGCTGTAGGCAGTAAGCATTCAACCTCCCTTATCCATTTAGTCCATGTACTTGTTACCCTTACTCTTATTGATTGTATGAAAGTAAATTTTAATCTCTTCCATACAAGGATTTCATCTTTCATTTTTCCATTAAGTACCATGGCACCATATACCAATTACAGCAAGAATGTTCATGACTAGTGATAAGACCTCCGTTCTGCATCACACCTGAAGTTTAATACTGAGATCTACACTGTATTTTGATACAGTACTGACTCAAAGGAAAGAATTATACCTACTATATTACCAACAATACAGGAAAAATTGTGGGAAATTAGAGGTTTATCTTCTAAGTACTTGTCTAATCCAACGCTGTTGAGTTTGGGATTTGATTATTTGAGTTATCACTTCTTCTAGAGCATAATTACAAAACTTGTGTTGCTTCTTTGCAGACTTGCTCAAGTTTTCATTTAATCTTAGAGGGCCAAAGTTGTTAACAGAAAGAATAAACTTCAGTAAGTGTCAAGTTTCTTTCTAACTTTGCTGGTCTCATTTTTTTTATATTCTTGAATTCTGTTACAGTGAATGTTACATTCTTGCCTCCAACCTAGAAGAAATTAAATTAGGCAATTCCTAAAAAGATGAGTATGTAATTAGAGATTAATAAAGGATTAAGGGTAGCCAAAAACGTAGAGACTTGCAGCAGTCCATGCTTGACTATGTGGCTGGGATGGCGTGACACAAAGAAGTTAATTTCAGAAATATGATTTCAAACTGTGAAATGAACATCTCTTTAATAAAAAATGAAGCAATATTTATTGAACAATTGTTCATTTCCATGCAACCCAAGCATCTAGATATTTTCTTTACATGGTTTACTTTTGTTACTAATTTTTCTCAAATTCTGTGTGTTCATATAGAAATATATA